GAGGGAGTGAGGGAGGGAGGGAGGGAGGGAGGGAGGGAGGGGAGGAACAACAGATTTTACTAAGTTGGTACAGGGATATACTTCTTATGAAACTTGGACACTGGTGATGGCAGCAGTCAGGATATGGGGGCAGGAGGCTAATGAGTTCAAGGCTAGCCTGACCTATATAGTGATATCCTGTTGCAACGACACAGAATTACCTGTGTGATGTGAAGGTATTTCCAAAGACAAGAAGGTGGAAATTAACAGGTTGTACATGTACAGTGTTTGTAATTGTTGTTTTGGTTTTGTGCCAGTCCTAGGGTTTGAACTCAAGGCCTGGGAGCTGTCTGAGCCACAGCTTTAATTCTGGCTTTTTTGGCTTAACTGGAGATAAAGAGTCTCACAGACTTTCTTGCCTAGGCTGGCTTCTAACAGGAACTTACAGATCTCAGCTTCCTGAGTATCTAGGATTACAGACATGATCTACTCACACCTGGATAGTGTGGTTTTTGTTGTTGTTGTTTTGTCAAGTCAGGGGCTTGAACTGTGGGCCTGGGCACTGTCCCTCAGCTCTTCAGCTCAAGGCAAGCACTCTACCACTTGAACCACAGCACCACGTCCAGTTTTCTGATGATTAGTTGGTGATAAGAGTCTCACGGACTTTTCTGCCCAGGCTGGCTTTGAACCACGATCCTCAAATCTCAGCCTCCTAAGTAGCTAGGATTACAGGCTTGAGCCAGCGGTGCCTGGCTAGTGTACAGGTTTTAACTGTTCATTTAATATTAAGGGGACATTTTAAAAGGAAAAAGTCTCCCATCTCTGCAGAGTTATAAACTCCTACCAATAAGAACAAGAAATATACAACAATAATGACCATCAAATGTTGTACCTCAGAATATGACCTAAATTTTGTAATAAAAATTATTTTAAATCAAAGAGATAGAAATACTTGGTATTCACTTGATCCTCTATCAATTACGTCTAAGAAGTGATATGCATGTTTGGGGTAGTTTGCTACTCAAAAAAAAAATAGAAAGGAAATATTAATCTATCAGCTTCCTGGGGTTGTTAGAATCAAAGTACATAAAGACCCACTTTGAATTGTGACTTTATGTTTCTATATTTTATCAAACACCAACATATAATAATTTCACAAAAGTAAACAGTACTGGAAAGAAACCAAGGCTAAGAATAAACTAGGTCATTTGGGCGACTGGTTGCCAAGCAACTGGAATTTCTCACTGTTTCCCTTTAGAATAATTCAATCTTTAAAAATTTTATTAAATTACTTTTACTTCTTCAAGAGTTACACTAATATACTTAGAAATCACACTAATGAGAAAACTGTAGGACTTAAATATAGCAGAAATTTAAAACTGTAATATTTAACTTCCTTCTCTAAACACAAATGTTAATTATCTGTAAATTAATCTATAAAACCCCCAAAACCTACACTTATAAATGACTAAAATGAGCTAGGTGGTGGTTCATGCCTGTAATCCTAATTACTCAGGAGGCTGAGATCTGTGGATTGTAACTCAAAGCCAGCCCAGGCAGAAAAGCTTATGAGCGGTTATCTCCAATTAACCAGAAAAAAATTGTACATGGAGGTATAGTTCAAGTAGTAGAGTGCAGAAAAAGCCAAATGAGAGTGTAAGGCCATGAGTTCAAACCCTAGTACCAGTACCACCAAGAAAAAAGAAAAACTGCTGAAATGATAAATTTTAAATTACATGTATTTTACAGTTAACAAAATGAAAGAAAAATGGCATAAGCAGAAGTCACTGAACGTTACAAATTATCAAATAAAAATAAGTAAGATACAACTTCATACCTATTATCAGATAGGCATGAAAATTGTTCTTACCATAAACTGACACACAATCTACGAAAGAAATCCAGTAACATCAAAATATATCTCATAAATGTGCTCTGTCTCAGGCATACTTCACTGCCAGAAGTGACTTAATAATGTTGTAAGAATGATAAAAATATATGCTGTTGCAGTACTGTTTTAAAAAGTATAAAATAAGCTGGGCATTGGTGGCTCATGCTTGTAAGTCCTAGCTACTCAGGAGGCTGAGATCTTAAGGATCAAGGTTTGAAGCCAGCCCAGGCAGGAAATGCCATGAGACTTTTATCTCCAGTAAGCGCTATCAAAAAGCTGGAAGTGGAGCTATGGCTTAAGTATTACAGTGCTAGCCTTGAGCACCAAAGGTCAGGGGCAGTGCCCAGGCCCTGAGTTCAAGATTCTACACTAGGGCTGGGAAGGTGGCTCAGTGGTAGAGTGCTTGCCTTGCATGCATGAGGCCCTGGGTTCGATTCCTCAGCACCACATAAGCAGAAAAAGCCAGAAGTGGCGCCGTGGCTCAAGTGGTAGAGTGCTAGCCTTGAGCTGAAGAGCTGAGGGACAGTGCCCAGGCCCAGAGCTCAGGCCCCATGACTGGCAAAAAAAAAAAAAAAAAAAAAAAGATTCTAGACTAGCACCACCCTCAACAAAACAAAATGCCATTACAAAACAGGGAAAAAACTTTAATGCCTATCCAAAAATTTCACCATAAATTATGGCTATGGTTAAAAAATTGGCAGACTGGATCACACCCCAACTCCTAGCTATTTGGGAGGCAGAGTAGAAGGACTATTCTACAGTTCCAGGAGAGCCTGGGCAAAGAAGTTACAAGTCCCTATATCTCAATAAACAAGTCATGGTGACCCATGACTGTCATTCTAGTTACATAGAAGACAAGGGTAGCGTGGTCCAGGTGAGAGCAAGCAAAAAGTATGAATATGAAAATAACTAAAGCCAAAAAGAGGTAAGGGAAATAGCTCAAGTAACAGAATGCTTACTTAGCAAGTACGAGGTCCTGAGTTCAAATCCCAGTACTGTAAACAACTTTCTCCTAAAAATCAACTACAATAAAAACCCCACCAGAACAAAAACCAAACTTCTCTGTATTTGCTTTTTTTTGGGGTCCGGTCGTGGGCCTGAACTCTGGGCCTGGGCGCTGTCCCTCAGCTCTTCAGCTCAAGGCTAGTGCTCTACCACTTGAGCCACAGTGCCACTTCCGGCTTTTTTTTCTGCTTAAGTGGTGCTAAGGAATCGAACCCAGGGCCTTATGCATGCAAGGCAAGCGCTCTACCACTGAACCACCTTTCCAGCCCCTCTGTGTATTTGTTGTTATAAACAATGTCCAGAAAATATTATGAAGGAAAAATAAAGTTTCAAATTAGCTATCAAGATTACATTATGTTAAATTCAATGACAGGAAAACAGAAAAACATAAAACAGAATGTTAACAAGTTACTAGTTATCTCTGGGAGTATTTTTCCTCTTTGTTTTCTTTTTACTTTTTTAGATTTTCTTTATTTTTCTAGATTTTCTAAATGTTCTGCCACGTATTATTTATAATTTGTACAACATTTTTTTATTTAAAAAGCTCTATCATAGAGGCTTGGGCTACAGCTCAAAGGTAGTGTTTGGCTTAGCCTTCTATGACCCTGTGTTCATTCCTACATGCTTTGGGGAGAAGTATGGGGAGGCAAGTTAAGCTGTGATAATAAATAAATAAATAAATAAAAATAAGGGGCTGGGAAGGTGGCTCAGAAGTAGAGTGCTTGCCTACATGCAAGAGGCCCTGGGTTTGATTCCTCAGCACCACATAAACAGAAAAGGCCAGAAGTGGTACTGTGGTTAAAGTGGTAGAGTGCTAGCCTTGAGCTGAAGGGCTCAGGGACAGCACCCAAGCCTAGAGTTCAAGCCCTGTGACCAACAAAAAATAAAATAGTCTTTTCTACTTTAAAACATCAAGTATTCCAGTAGTTTATTACATTATTGCTTAAAAATAAGGATTACGGACAAATGTTTTAAGCAATGCAGAAAACTGTAACTTAATTTTAATGCAGCCCACCTTTTTATGCCTTTCAACACACAATCAAAAGCAAGGCTGAACAAGGTGGCATACAACTGAAATGCCAGCACTCTGGAGGCCAAGGGATGAAGATCAATAAGGGGTTGGAGGCTAGCCTGGGCTGCATATAGCCCAGCCTGACCTACACAGTAACTCTATTAAAAAATAAGCAACAACTGCAGGAGTTCTTTACCTAGAGCAAGAACACAAGTCAAAGATACACTTCATACAATTTTTTTTTAAATACCCTTTTGGGGGGAGGAGAAATAGGGGGTGACTAGAGATTGAATTCAGGACTTCCACTACTTGAGCTAATGATCCAGACCCCAAACTACTTGCTTAAAAGATACTTGGCTTTATAGACAAAAGCATTCCTATGTTTAATTAACCTCAAATTGAACTAACTAAAAATGGGCTGAGCACTGGTGGCACATACCTGCAATCTTAGCTACTCAAAAGACTGAGACCTGAGAATCACAGTTCAAAGCTAGTTGAGTAGAAAGTCTGTGAGACTCCAATTAGCCACCAAAAAGCCAGAAGTGGAGCTGTGACTCAAAGTGGTAGAGCGCTAGCTTTGAGCAAAAAACAACTCAGGGACATCACAGTACACAGGCCCTGAGCCTAAGCACGACAAGTGACAAAAACAAAAACAAAAAAACTTTGAAAGGATAGAAAAGACTTAGACTATAGCAAAATAAAACAGAAAAGTGAGATAATACCTAATAGCCATGTTTACAATGTTTATAATACCAAATACCTATGTTTACAACATAAACATCACTCCTCCAAGATTTTGCTACAAATTCTATTATAACTTATAAAGTTCCTTTTATATTTGAGATTTTAAAAGGCATATAACAATGCATTTTTCTTTAATCATTTTATTATAAAAATAATTTTAAAAGAAAAAGTGTTATTTCTAATGTCTTAGGATATTTCTAAGTGGCATTTTAAATTATTAAACCTTCAGGAAAGAAATTAAACACATTATTTCAAATAATAAAGAATCCTAAAATGAAAAATGGTACATACCCTACATAGTACAGAAAATTTTAAAGTTTTAATACCATGTATACTTTTATCTATTTTTAAAGGTGCTTTAATACTTACAGCTTGATTAGGTAGATTGTCAGTTTTAAGTTCTCTGTGATTGGAATACTGAATATAAACAGGCTGGCTTCGAAGATGAGGAGTAACAGGAGTGTAATAGTTCACCATAGTAACAGCAGCTTCCTCAGAAGCCATTTCTAAGAAAGCCTGCAATACATGACAAAAAGATAAAATGAAAAACCATGTTTTTTAAAAAAGATAAAAGTATTTTATCATACTAGTTTTCTCTAGCCTCATGCATTCTCAATAGAAATTATAATGCCCCCAAGAGGATGAAAAAATCCTCTGCTTTGAAGTATATCATACAGGCTAATTACAAGTACCCAAAATTTGGATTCAATAATGGACTTAGACTTGGAAGTTGCCAGTTGTTTAAATTGATGATGGATGCATGTTGATTTTTCCTCTCATTTCTACTTCTTCTAAAATCTAAAAATATTACTTATAAAGGCAAAAACAAATATATATACATACATGTATAATATACATATATATATAAATGGGTGCTTTAAGGATTTAAAGTCTTATATTATTTAATAGTCTTATGTTAATAGTGATTTAATAGTCTTAAGTTAAAAATCTTGGGGTTAGCCTGCTTTCACTATATTTGATGTCAGTATAACATGTGGAGGAGATGGGGACAAACAAGTCGTTTAAGGATTCAGGTGGACCTGTTGCAACAATGAGAAGTACAAAATGTCATGTCAAAACCAGCTTTACAATGTCGGGGGGGGGGGGGGGGTATGATTGGGTGGGGGGGAGGGGGGAGGCTGGGAAGGGAGGTGAAGGGTAAACAAAGGAGGAGGCTGCAATGCATGGTAAGAAATGTATGCATTATCCTGCCCATGTAATTGTAACCCCTCTGTACAGTATGTTCTCAAATAAAATAAAATTTAAAAAAACAAAAAACAAAAAACAAAAAAAAAAATCTTGGGGTTAGGAAGTGGTGCTGTGGCTCAAGGGGTACAGCGCTTGCCTTGAGCTGAAGAGTGCAGGGACAGCGCCCAAGCCCAGAGTTCAAGTCCCACGACCGACAAAAAATAGATAAATAAAAATTATAAATAAAATAAAATGATGAAAAAGATGAGTTAAAGTGTTTTCACTCATATGTAGAAGCTAAACCAAATACACACACACACACCTGAGGACAGGTACATATGTATACACATCTGTACACTTAAATTTATATGTATATACATAAAACATGACTGTAACTATGGGACTAGGAGGATGATGGAAGGGGGAGGGAAAGAAAGATGGAGGATAAATAACTTTCAAAGCAACTACATGTGAAGTCAGCATAAGGAGTCTCAATGAAAGCTGTTGATCAAAAGGGGGTTGGCAGGACAGAGGGAGTAGAGATGGTTGTTCTGAGCAAGGTAAAATACATGCACATCTGAAACACCATTGTTAGTCTCAGTACAGTTTAAAAAAGAATGATAGGAAAGTGAGGCAGGCTTCATTCATGGTTACTGGTGCCAGTGGGAGGAGATAGCTAACAAGGAGGGTGAATGAGAATCAGTATGTCTAAAATCTGTTGAAATTAGGAGTAGTGGGATGGGGAGAGTGATAGGAGGTGAGATTCATCAAGATATGCATGCATGTTATACTGGTACCCTTTTAGTTGTACTAATATATACTCATAGTATATATATTAGATACACTGTATAAGTGACATATACTGATATGAAAAGTATTGTGATTAAAAGGCTAGAGTACACAAAAGATGCATTAAAATTTAATGAGGCAATTAGGGTCTTTTTTTTAAAGCCAAAAGCCAGAAAGAAATAAAGAGGAAAGGAGAAAAGGAAGGAAAGCTGACAAATGATATTCCTTTTTTTTGTAAGTCCTGGGACTTGAACTTGGGGCTTTATGCATTGTCTCTGAGCTTTTTTTGCTCAAGGCCAGCACTCTACCACTTGAGCCACAGCACCACTTCTGGCCTTTTCTGTTTGTGTGGTACTGAGGAATCGAACCCAGGGCTTCCTGCATGCAAGGCAAGCACTCTACCACTAAGCCACATTCCCAGTTCTGACAAATGATATTTTAACTATCAAAATTCTTTAACAGGAATGAGACATAATGTTGTGTTCCACCTTTCCTTTGTATAAAAACAACAAAATGAAATAATTTTATTTATAAATTAAATAGAATACTCTTTTTCAGTGACAGTTACCATCTCATACTTAGCTAACTTGAAGCCAACATATCAAGGAACAAGAATTGTCAATTCATCGTGGAAAGGAAACAATTTAAACTTATTCTTAACTGTAATAACTTAGTTATTGACAACCTTGAACCTTATTTCCTCATCTAAAACATGAAGTGCTGTCAAATATGATCTATAAATTTCTTTGCATCTCTTAACATAAGATTCTGGTGTTTTGGAGCTGGGAAGGTGGCTCAGTGGTAGAGCGCTTGCCTTGCATGCTCGAGGCCCTGGGTTCGATTCCTCAGCACCACATAAGAAAAAAGAAAAAATCCGGAAGTGGCGCTGTGGCTCAGGTGGTAGAGCGCTAGCCTTGAGCTGAAGAGCTGAGGGACAGTGCCCAGGCCCAGAGTTCAGGCCCCACGACCGGACCCAAAAAAAAAAAGATTCTGGTGTTTTGTTTTTTTTTTTTTTTGGGGGGGGGGGGGTCATGGGGCCTGAACTCTGGGCCTGGGCACTGTCCCTCAGCTCTTCAGAGGCCAGCGCTCTACCACTTGAACCACAGAGCCACTTCCAGCTTTTTCTGCTTATGTGGTGTTGAGAAATTGAACCCAGGGGCCTCATGCATGCAAGGCAAGCACTCTACCACTGAGCTTCCTTCCCAGCCCTCTACCATGAGATTCTGCGGGGGGAGAATCTATTAAATTTCAGCCACCAAAAAAAAAGCATCCCTTTAAAATGGTGTGGCGCACACACTGTTACTTGACTTTTTCTTGTTGTTTCCATTTCTGAGGTTTGAAATCAGGGTCCTGTGCTTGGCAGACTGGCACTTTTCTACTATGAACTATGCTTCTAGCTTACATTTTTGCTGGCTATTTTGGAGATGAAGTCTAGCAAACTTTTTTACCCAGGCTGGTCAATCTATGAGCCTCTAAATCTTAGCCTTATGAGTACCTACAATTATAGGTATGAGACAGCAATACGTACCTGCAATTACACAGTATACTGTGTAACATTTAAATCAGATAAAAGCAATATACAGTATTCGGTTATTCTTTTTATTCTTTTTCTTTTCTTCTTTTAACAGTGCTCAACATCAAACCCAGGTCCTAGTATGTGGCAGGCAAACACTACACCAATGAACTTCAGTATCATCCATTATATCAGTTAGCCTTGTCTACAGTATTCTAATAAGCAATAGTGTATCAACTTTTTTTTATTCTTTTTTTGGGGTCCGGTCATGGGGCCTGAACTCTGGGCCTGGGCGCTGTCCCTCAGCTCTTCAGCTCAAGGCTAGCGCTCTACCACTTGAGCCATAGTGCCACTTCTGGTTTTTTTCTTTTTTCTTATGTGGTGCTGGGGAATCAAACCCAGGGCCTCATGCATGCAAGGCCAGCGCTCTACCACTGAGCCACCTTCCCAGCCCCCTTTTTTTATTCTTATCATCTAAATATACCTTTGTGCCTACTGATAACTTGTCCCAACCTCTTTCTCCTCATAGTCTTCCCAGCTACTGGCAACCACCATTCTATTCTCAACTTTCAGCTTTTCAGATTCCAAATATGAGTAAGAGCATGCATACTCATCTTTCACTTAATTAAATAATTAAATAATCTTCAGTTCCATTCCTGCTATTACAAATAACAGGATTTCTTTTTTTTTTTAAATGGCAGAACAGTACTCTATTTTTTTTTTAATGGCAGATAGTACCCCATCACTGCATTTTCTTTATATGTTCCCTGGTTGATGGACATTTTGGTGGTTTCTATTTTTTGGACATTGTGGATGGTGATGCAATAAATGTGGGAATACAGATGTTTCTGACACACTGATTTCATTTGTTCTGAGTATTAGTGTATAGAATGAGACCTTAATGTTTTTGGGGGGTGGGAGTGGGAGATCCAGTCACGGGGCTTGAACTAAGGGCCTGGGTGATGTCCTTGAGCTTTTGCTCAAGGCTGGTGCTCTATCACTTTTAGCCACAGTGACACTTCTGGTTTTCTGGTGGCTATAAAAGTCTCATACAGGGCTGGGAAGGTGGCTCAGTGGTAGAGCGTTTGCCTTGCAATGCATAAGGCCCTGGGTTCGATTCCTCAGCACCACAAAAGCAAAAAAAAAAAAGGGGAAAAAAAGCCAGAAGTGGTGCTGTGGCTTGAGTGGTAGAGCGCTAGCCTTGAGTTGAAGAGCTGAGGGACAGCACCCAGGCCTAGAGTTCAGGCCCCACAACCAGACCCCAAAAAAAAAAAAAAAGTCTCATACATTTTCCTGCCCAGGCTGGCCTCAAACTGCAGTCCTCCGAACATTTATAAATAAGTTCTAGCTTCCATATATGACAGAAAATATTTGTCCTTTGTCTCTTTGGGCCTAACTTTAAAACCAGGAGATCCACAGCAACCAATGAGAAAGGGCCCAGTCTATTTGAATTTGCATGCTCTTTAACCCTACAAAAAAGTGGTCTTGTAGTAACTTGCTCTAAAGCAATCTGATTTGAATTTTTTTTCTATTTCCTTGTTTTGAGGTTAAGAACACTAACTCTTCTGTGTCCAGCTGCACATTTAATTCTACCTTACAGGTAAGGTTTTGCCCAAGTCTAGAATCATATATAAGTCAGTATAACCTTTTAAACTTGTAATTTTGTCTTGTGACAATAGTATTCATGCCCATTTAGATTCTGGAAAACTGTTCTGTAATTTGTCAAATGATCTACTAGGATCATCTAATAATCATAAATTTAAAAAAATTTTAATGTATATTTTTATTTAAGTAGTTGTTCAAAGGAGTTGCTATTCAATAGAGCAGTTTATGAATACAGTGCCTCTTAATAAAAAATATTTTAAATAAACACTTCTATTATATAAAACACAAAATGTTTTGTTATGAAGGAAAATGACCACAAGTCCACAGGTAACAGTAATCTTCTTTCCTATGTTATTTTTGTTGATTTTCCTGACACACACACACACACACACACACACACACACAATCTGCTTGAAAAACTGAACTTATACCATGTGCTAGTGGCTTAACCCTGTAATCCTAGCTACTCAGGAGGCTGAGATCTGAGGACCATAGTTCAAAGACAGCTTAGGTGGGAAAGTCATGTGAGATTCTCATCCCCTTCAAAAAAGCTGGAAGTGAAACTGTGGCTCAAGTGGTATAGAGTGCATGCATACACACAGACACAGACACAAACAGAGAGACAGACACACATACACATATACACAACTAATCTTATACACCTGAGGCATAGCTCAAGTGATGAGTACCAGCCAAGAGCAGTTAAAAACTAACTTATAAGTTGATGTCAGTGGCTCACCCGTGTAACCCTAGATACTCAAAAGGATGAGATGTGGATGATTGAAGTTCAAAGCAATCTGGGCAGAAAAGCCCATGAAACTCCATCTCCAGATAAGGACAAAAATCTAGGCTGGAAGCATGGCTCGAGTAGTAGAATGCCTGCTGTGAACAAGGATGCTGAGCAAGCATGATGCCCTAAAGTTCAAATCCTAGTCCTAGCAAAACAAAACAAAAGCAATCACCACAACAAAACTAACTTATAATCACAGAATAAAATACAGGTTAGAAAAGTTAAAGATCCAGACAACTACTTTTTAAGACCTCATGAAATCCAAGACCAGCCTGGGCAACAAAGCAAGACCTATGTCTGGATGGATGGATGAATGGATGGATGGATAGATACAATATTCTTGGACGTTCAAAATAATAAAAACCATCATAACACTAACACCAGGGTAATAATCATTCTGTCAATGTTTAAACATTACATACCTGGCTTTTTCCTTTCAACATCAAAAGATTAGTTACTTTGCCAAATGGTAGACCTAATGATATGACCTCTGCTTCGGTGACATCACATGGAATTTTTCGAAGATGGAGAACACGGGAAGGTGAACAGGGAGGTCTATCTCCTTTAAATTTCTTGTTGTCATTCCCATTAGCTAAAAAATATAAGATTTAAAAAAAATTACTGGAACTAATTTGGATTGACATACTACATTAACTATATTGTCACATTTAATTCCCTCGAGTTTCAGGATGTAAAATTCAAGGGACTATGAGGGCTTAAGAAGGAAAAAGGAGGACAGTGGCAAACAAAATCAACCACCTTTCAATAAACCCTTTATCAGGTTTCTCTGTGAGCATTACAGTTTTAAAAACTGATATATGCTATTTTAACATTAAGGAAAAGTATTAGGGTACGTGAATATATTTAGGCACTACAAAATGATGTTCCAGCCGGGCGCTGGTGGCTCACATCTGTAATCCTAGCTACTAAGAGGCTGAGATCTGAAGACTGCGGTTCAAAGCCAGCCCAGGCAGGAAAGTCCATGCCACTTTAATCTCCAATAAACTACCAGAAAAACCAGAAGTGGCGCTGTAGCTCAAGAGAGTGCTAGCCTTGAGCCGAAGAGCTGAGGGACAGCGCTCAGGCTCAGAGTTCAAGCCCCGTGACCGACAAAAAAAATAAAAATAAATTTAAAAATTATGTTCCAACAAAGGGCCTGACCATATACAGATCCCATTAAGATTTTTAAGTAAAATGGAATATTCCTATTGCCTGTTAATACTATTATTCCTGTATTCTTCATGTCTATGGTGATCCTGATGTAAACAAACCTACTGCTCTTCCACTTGTACAAAAAACACAATTATATATAGTATATAATACTTTATATTAAATGACTGTTATTTATGTATTTAGAATATTTTTATAATTAATGTATTGTTAATTTTACTTATAAAATGAACAAAAAGTAAACTGTACAACAGCCTCAAGCAGATCTTTAAGGTAGTAATTTAAAAGGCACTGCTATCGTAGGAGATGACAGCTTCATGCTTGTTACTGTCCCTGAAGACATTCCAATGGGACAAGATGTAGAAGACAATGAAACTAATGATCATGACTTTTACATTTAAAAAGCAAAACAAATTAACAACAGAAAACACATAATGATATAACGAAAGAAAACATTTTTTACACAGCTGTAAAATGTGTTTGGGTTTTAAGCAAAGTATTATTACAGAATGTTGGAAAGTAATTCTTTTAAGTTTACAAAGAAAAAAGGTAAATGAATCTAAGATCAATGCTATTGAAAAATAATTATGAACAAAACATTCAGGAATTATAAAAAGTCTGCAATAGAACACAATCACATCCTGGGATTCCACATTTACTCACCCAGCAGACCATCTAGTTGTGCAGGGCACCTTTTCTATTTTTAGATAAACAAATACTTACCATTCTGTTACCAATGCTTATAGTATTCAGTAAAAGTGACCATTTGCAGAAATCTATGGCCTAGGGCAACAGGTTATATCATATAGTACTAGTATGTACGTACATAAACTCTCCAATGTAAATCTGTGAGTATACTAGTTATTTCCTTAATGATAAAATTTTCTATAAAACATTTCTCAGAAAATACGCCCACTACTGAAGGATGACTATACCTCTAATTCCACTTTTCTGAAGAATTTTTCTAAGCTATTCTAATGCTAAGTATAATGAAAACAATCAGTTTTAGAAAAGTATGCTAGGAAACTGAATATAAATTACTTAGTATCTGAAAATTTCATTACTAATGAAACTACTTAAAATGTCTGTGATCCTAAATGAACAAACTTTATGAAAAGCAAATAAGATGGGCCCTTGTAGATTATGCTGTAACCTTAGTACTCAGGAGGTCTGAGACTTGGAGGACCACAATCCAAAGCCAGGACAGGCAGAAAAGTCTCCAACTAGTCATCAAAATGACAGACTAGTGGTGTAGCTCAACTGGTAGAGCACCAGCCATGAGAAAAAAAAGCTGGGTGAAAGTGCAAGGCCCAGAGTTCAAGCTCTGGTACTGGCAAAAAATCTTAACAAAAATATAACAGTATTTTGTATTAATATCTGTGACAGAGAACCTAACTTGTGTACATAGTTTCATGAAATACATAAACACTTGTTCCAAAATTCTGGGAACACAGGAAGTACCTGCCTAGAACTAAGACTATTAATTCCTAAAAAGTCCAAGCAGGTCTGCTTCTTGATCACATTATGAGTAAGATGGCTAGAAAAGTGATTTGTTCTCTTCTATTTTAACAAGTATGGCCTTTCCATCCAAAATGCCTACCCACAAACATTATTTTCATCTCTAGCCATAATCATTATCACCAACCTTGCGTTTGATCTTGTCCCTTTTTTCTCTCTCTTCTTCTAGTCTCACTTCCTGTGGAAGTGTCCCTAGGATTTATTATCATCGCTTAACTAAAGAGAGTCTGAAAGTTCCAACAGAGTTACAAATTCCTAAAATATCCTTTAGTAATTTCTACTTCATTTTTATCATTTGAGTCCCACAAATATCCAAATAAAAATTTAAAGGTAGTTTAACTTCAAGTCTCAGAAGTGTTTTAAAAAACATAGGAAAGAGTAAAAAACCTGACAGACATTGACAAATTTCATCATACTATAAGAGACTACTATGGATTAACAATAAACAAATACTAAGCTAAAAAAACAAACATCAGTCACTCAAACAAGAGTTGAACAAGGGCACCTTCCATGCTTGCCCATGCTAAAACAACAACATTAATATCATCAATGAATTAAGTACTGGAAAAACATCCTCAAGCCATGCAATATCTGTAACCTTACCCTACATGTTTCAAAATAATAAAAGGACATTAAAGAGGTTGTTTTGTCAGCCGGGTGCCGGTGGCTCATGCCTGTAATCCCTAGCTACTCAGGAGGCTGAGATCTGAGGATCACGGTTCAAAGCCAGCCCAAGCAAAGAAAGTTTGTGAGCCTCTTATCTCCAATAAATCACTAGAAAACCAGAAGTGGCGCTGTGGCTCAAGTGGTAAAGCGCTCACCTTGACTGAAGAGCTGAGGGATAGCGTCCAAGCCCCACGACCGACCCACCCCCAAAAAAAAGAAAAAAAGAGGTTGTTTGTCTAAGAATGGCATTATAAGTTTGGGAAAAGTGTAAATACTGAAAAGCAAGTTTTTGATTTCTTATTTGTGTTCCACTACCAAGCAGAGATCTAGTATGATAAACTCTTATCAAAAAAACATGTGGAGGGGGGGACCAAGATGGCGACGGGGCAGTAGGGAAACGCCACAGCTCTCTCCAACCAAAAAGAGAGTTCGAGTTCCAACGTTTAATCTCCCCAAGAGACCGACAACAACAAAAAGATGAACACTCAGAGAAAAACCAGAGGTGGAAAATAACAAAAAAAGAAAGAGAGGAAAAGAAGAATTTCAGAACAGAGAAGAGCAAAGACCCCTCCCCCAACCTTTACTGGCCGCGCGGCAGTGCGCCAAGCCGCCGGCCAGCCGCCCGGCGGGGGCTGCCGGAGCCACAGAGACACAGGGGGCTGCTTGCAGATCACCAGGTACCAGATTGCAGAACAGCGGATCGCCAGGAACAGAGAAACCTACCAGCCGGGAGTCTCCACGAGGATCCCATCCCCACCCCTCACTCTCCACCGGAGCTGAGAGGCTCCATCCCGCCAAAGCCGCCCCGCACGAGCAACACGACAAAGGGACCTGTCGGCAGAACACCCGCCCAATCGCGATCGCAGCAACCCGGCGGGGGGCCGCCCAACCCAGCCTGCAACCACCCCAACTGAACTCGGATTGCAACAACAACTGACGACCTACAGGGTGAGTACCCAACAGGGGACAGTGAATCCCCCAAGGGAGACCAGAGCTGGAGGGAATCCCCAGACCCTGACCTAGACTCCCTACCCCAACACCCGGACCACAGGACCCACTAAAACTGGGAACTGTTCGAGAGCTCCACCAGCCGGTGGAGCACACTCTGCTGGCCAGGCCAGAGCAAGAGCGCCCCTGGAAGGGAGCTTAAATGCCCAAGCCAGGAACAGCGCCCCTGGGTCAAGACTACCAACAGTAGAAGAAATTTGAACTGTGTCCTCCAGGCTGCATAACCTAGGTGGTATACACATTAGCACAGGCCTAACGAGCGCGCTCCAGGCTGGGGCCGGAACCAGGCCCGGGGACCGGCGCCTGAACAAAGCAAAAAGGGTCAGAAGTGGGGCTGTGGCTCAAATGGTAGGGTGCCAGCCCTGAGCTGAAGAGCTGAGGGACAGCACCCAAACCTAGAGTTCAAGCTCACAACCAGCCCAAAACAAACAAACAAAAACACATCAGGAGCCCATAGCAGACTCCAGTATTTGGGAGAGTGCATCCAGAGCATCTGATCTTCCCAAGAGCACCCGCAGGAGCAAACACAAGCAGTCTAGGCTGCTCAACCCTTCCAAAGGCGGGAATTGCTACAGCAGAGAGCTGAGAATCCTAAGTAAGTCAGAATAGCAGCTGGAAATAGGCTCCCAACAGAATCCAGATCAGGCACAGACTCTCTCTACCAATACAGAATCAGCAACGAAGCAAAGACAGACACACCAAAACAAGATTGAAGAGCAGTCTCCTGAACCCCCATGCGAAAATCACAGAGAAAAATCACAAGGTTTACCACTACCCAGGACAGCAAGCTCACCTCAAAAGCCAGCAGCCACGCAGGGGAGAGCCCCAGTGGGAGCAAAGCAGGAATGGAAGACAAAAACTACATCCAAGGGTTGCTGGAGGCAATGACTCAAGAAATAAAGCGAGAAATGGATCAGAAATTGAAAGAGCACAAGGATGAACTATCAAAAGATATACAGGATATCAAACAAAAATTGGATGCAAAAATAGAAGCTGCACAAACCTCAGTAAGAAGTGAGATAAACGCCAAATTAGAGGTAATGCATACTGATCTCACCTCATTGAGAGGTGAGATCAGTACTCTGAGAACCAACATTGAATCCATAAAGGGATCCATTTCCACCATGCAAACCACAATAGAAGCCACGGTCAACAGAGTGAATGAAATGGAAGGAAACAATGATAAGGAAATGATAAGGAATGATAAGGAAATGATAAGGAAACAATCCT